TGGGTGGGTGGGTGTATGTGTGGGTGTCGGTGCGGGTGTCGGTGCGGGTGTGTCACCGTGCGTGTGTTGCTCACAAAGAGTTCGGAGCGACGATTGGGTAAGGGACACACTTGAGAATTCCACACGTCGATCATAAAGGAAACAACTGCATGCAGGGAAGTAAAAAAGCAGCCGCTGGTTTAAAGAGGTAAAAAAAACGCTAGTGTGGTACAGCCATCTCCATGTCTTCGCTCAATTCTTGTACACACACACACGCACACACGCGCACACACGCACACACACACGCACACACACACACACACACACACACACACACACACACACACACTACCGCACACTACCGGGGCGGTAGTGTGTGTGTGTGTGTGTGTGTGTGTGTGTGTGTGTGTGTGTGTGTGTGTGTGTGTGTGTGTGTGTGTGTGAGTGCGTGTAACCATCAAACCCCCCAAATACACCACCTCACCAACCACCACCCCACACCACCGTCATGCTTGTGGCCGATTCATTCAACATGAACCAAACGAGCAGAAGAGGAATCCGAATCACGACGAACGAAGGTCAAAACAGAAAAGCACACAGGACTAGGCACCGCACACGACAACATCGAACTGAAATGCGTTGTCCATGCAAATATCAAAAGCCCATCACCGAATAAAACAAGTTCTGACGAAGAGAACGCCCACAACGAAAGCAATCATCAATTAATCGGATCAATCTTCCGCAAGGCATCATTGCTAACACTTTCCCACCCTGAAACTGTGATGAACGGACCTCAACAAACTATGTGGCCGCACAATATACTGGTCATACGCCTCGCCTATCATGAGACCGAACAGCAGCCGGCAACGACGTCTAAAATCTAGGTGGCAGCTCAACTGCTGCCATCAACGAGGCGGCACACCGGATGGGTGGCCAAAGTAGAAAAGTGGCATGAAAGTTGGCTGCCATGGACCGTTGTCGAGCGCACGGTCCCCGCAGTGAGAGAGGGGACCTTCCCAGCCACGTCACGCAGGATTCGGCAGGACCTTAGTCGTAGAGCGTTGCCGCTCCGGCCGAGTGCGCCAGCCATACCTCTCGCGAACCCCTACGACACGATAGGGCCACGCGAGGTACAACTTACCTCCACTTGCGGGAGCTGTCACCATCCCTTAGGTGGGCGTATCCCCGCCGAGCTACCGGTCCACAGTACGAAAGTTTTTACATGCAATCGCAGAGGTGGACCAGCCGAGGGCGTTTCTCGTACGCTGTCGCATAGGGGGTACGCGCCGTACCACGCCTCTATCGGACCCGTACGCAAGCCAACGCACTGGGGGCTGAAGTCCCAAGCGCGACTCGTTGTCGGTCGACTAGGACGCATCCTTCTCACCACGCATTACACCACGCCAAAACAAAAGTCAGATCACTCACACGAAACAAAACACTCCTAGTCCCTTCAGTATCCATGTGATACGGAAATCGGTTAGGTATCGCGCGCTTGTCTTAATATAAAACTGCACGAATGCAAGGTTTTCTCATATCGACTAGCCATGCAAGCATTCGCAAGCAATCGCAATGATGGCGTACTATGTACTACCCATAATCGTGTGGTCCTCGATAGTCTCAAGGTTCGCGTTCAACACTCAAGTGTCGGCTGACACGCGCCTGGAGGGGTTTATCTCTCGACATTAAACAACCGCCGAGGCGGTTGAGAACCACACCCTCTTCTGCACCCTGCGGAGAATCGGTGGTACACAGGTTCCGGCCTGTGGTGGCAATCAACCCTTATGGCCATGGAGACGAGCTCCATCATCCAAGGCTTTGAGAGAAGTCAGGGATTTAACTTTGACGGCTGCCACGGACTTCAACGTCCAACTATAAAAATTAACAAGCAAAATCACCCAATAAATAAACAGGCATCCCAACACCCATATTAATTCAAAACTTGAGATAAATAAAAGAGGGGAAAATAAACACATCAGGTATGCAGATCGCGCGACACATGGTTGTCATTCTCACTGCCTCCAAAGTAAGGCTCGTATACCAAGCTTCAAGATACTAACCTGCATAAACACATGCACATACGAAAGCCACATTGCCATGCACCACTGTGGTCAACTTTACTGTTCCCTGTAACTCACAACACGCCTCACACACTCCAACCCCAACCATTGTCCAACTTTCCATAAAAACCCATCAGTTCTTTATAATGGTCATTAAAAGAAGTCTGGTTAAAACTTTCAAAGAAACATATCAAATCTCAGGGCTAAGGCATCAAGTTGAGGTACAGATGTAAGCAACGTTGTGTCATGAGCCGACGAGTCGGCGATCAACCAACCGACCTGTTATCAAAGTTAACAGAAGACGACCCTCGTAGGATCGAGTTGAACTAGTCAGATCTTGAATCAAAAACGGCCAAGAAGGACCTGTTACACAACACAGGTCAAATCCCAAATACTTTAACTTCAAGTGTACGGCGAATAAATCCCCATATCACATCTTACTCAAAATCTCGAAAGACTATATCTCAAATTTCTCTCTCCAATGGTCCTCAAAGAATAAGGAAAATTTTGGCAGCATCTCCCCTACACAGGGTGAATCGCCAAAACTTATCCTACCAGAATATAATATAACTCTTTAAAACTAGAAAAATTTCGGTAGCGCTTCCCGTAGGAAAAGTGTCTGTTCAGAATTTATACGAGGCTAAATATAAAATTCAGAAATAACTCTGACTTCTCAAAGTCTAGTTTTGTCCAACTCCCTGATTTAGTAAAAATTTGGGTAGCACCTCTCCTAGAAAACTAGGCTTCCCAGATTTTAACTAAGCCAGATATAAACTCAAACAAAACTTGAATTGTGAAAGTCAAAATTTGACTAACTCCTCGGTTTTGTAGATATTTCGGCAATGCTTCCCGTAGGAAAAGTAGCTATCCAAAATTTATACAGAGCCAAGTAAAACAAAAGATCCCAAAAAATGCGAGAACTTGATCTAAGTAACTTAACTTAGAAAATGCAGGAATTGAACTAACTCCTATAGCTCCAGCACGTGGCGAGCACTAACAGACTACCCTATTAAGCAGCAGAAATAAACAGAACTTGAACAAAAGACAAGACTTTGCTAACAAGCATGTCATGTCAACAACTCATTCATCCAGTTCAAAAACAAGGGTTCGTTCATTCAAAGTGTTAATCTTTCGCTTGTCCTGATCACAGAAATATTGGTCTCGTATCTTACTTGGTTGATTATCTTTCAAAGTTGTTCTCAGTCAACCCCATGCAATCTGACAGACTTAGCAAGGCGACCGAATCAGTCAGAACGACCTCATCTCCAGCCCCAATTCAATGTCTTAGGCAAAACGAGCAAGGCGACCGAATCAATCTGGAGGACCTCATTTCCAGCCCCAGTTCAATGTCTTAGGGAAAACAAGCAAGGCGACCGGATCAGTTTGGAGGACCTCATTTCCAGCCCTAGTTCAATGTCTTAGGCAAAACGAGCAAGGCGACCAGATCAGTCTGGAGGACCTCATTTCCAGCCCCGGTTCAATGTCCTACGCAAAACGAGCAAGACGACCGGATCAGTCTGGAGGACCTCATTTCCAGCCCCAGTTCAATGTCTTAGGCAAAACGAGCAAGGCGACCGGATCAGTCTGGAAGACGTCATTTCCAGCCCCAGTTCAATGTCTTAGGCAAAACAAGCAAGGCGACCGGATCAATCTGGAGGACCTCATTTTCAGCCCCATTCCAATGTCTTAAGCAAACAGCAAAGCGATTGGATCAGTCTGCAGGACCTCATCTCCAGCCCCATTTCAATGTCTTAAGCAAACAGCAAAGTGACCGGATCAGTCTGAAGGACCTCATCTCCAGCCCCATTTCAAAGTCATCGCAAGCAGACATCGTAGATTCTTACAACACACAGATGACTTAATCATGCATCGTAGATTCCCCTTCTGATTCGGTTAAGGTCCTGAATTAAAGTCAAGGAAAATATACAAAAGTCAAAACTAAGTCAAACTGATCTTGAATGAAGGGTGGTATAAATAGGGGTATACGGGATTCTAAGGGAAATCGCGTCGACCTACGTCGAAGTTCCCTGCCTTCACGGTCCCGCCTGAACCCCGATAGAGTTCCCGCAATCGGTGGGTCGAACCTCCCACAAAGGCCTTGGCACTACGGGTTTCAATCCCGCCTGCTGCCTTCCTCTCTGAACCAATAAACTAGACTGAGACTCTGAAAGGCAGAAGGAGAGAGTATAAGTCACTCAGATACAAGAGAGGTGCACTCAGACCTCGCGTGAGAGGGCCTTGATTCCTTCACTCGCCAGAGGGCCCCGCAATGGTGGCCAAAGTCGCAGTAAAACGACCGAACTCGAAGTTGAAACGTAGAGCAATCGCACCCTTACAGCCCTTCAAGTCGCAACAGCCTCCCCCTATGTGGAGTCAGATCACTCCCCAAAGATGCAACGTCGTTCCCCTGACCAGCTTGTTGTTACATAGATGAGAAAAAAAAAACTGTTCAAATAGATCACACCCCTGTGCTCTATTTGAAGCACATGCAAAATGCAGTTGAGTTCAATAAAAAACTGCACAATTAGTAACCGTGCGCAGCACTAAGGCGCGATAGTTATGCACAACGCTATGCCCGGCAAGACAGCAAGGCCCAGCGCCTTGTATAGAAACATACGACGTGCGTTGAGGCGTGGAAGCAGCACGCACAGCAACCCAGCAAACATTGCGGGCACGGGCAATGCTCAACAGCATGTCCAACACTGCCAGCATTTATCGCATTTCTTCATATCAACACTTATGTCCACGATGACAGACTCAAACCCCCGCTGCAGTCTTCACTTCGTAGTGCCAGCAACA